CCTTAAGTTTCCACAGATTTTCGATGTTTCTTGTGTTTACAGGCTTTCTTACGCAAACGGAGTTTCCGGTGGATTTTCATATCAAAACCTTTAAAGCAAGATGTATAATAAAAGCATTTGCTGGGAAATTTTGGTTCTGCCATACTTAGTAGTATAAGACAAAGTCTAATGACCTATGTGACCTTATTTAATAGACTTCATCAAACGGTCATTTCCGACCCTATTAATTGCTCCTTAAAATTCTAGACCAAGTAGAACGCAGCAAATAAATTGAATTTTCTAAAGGGATAAATCTGGTTATATTGTTGGACAAGTACGAAAACAAGAAAAGGGATCGCAGATATACGCGATATTTAAAACATATAACTCTCGTATAGTTTTAGCAAAATCATATAGTTCCGTGTCATAACTCTCCATCCAAACACGTGCTCTAAATAGAGGCTTACAATATCTCATAAACTTAGGCATAACCGTGCTATTTAACATTGTTTAAACGCTGTGCCTAACGCTCTCACGCATATTGTTTTGCTGTAAACAATAGGCCTATCATGTTAACGCTTAAGCTTACTGTTCACACTAAATCCAAATGTAGGTAAACCATCACATTTTTTGCTATGATTACAGTAATATTCCTAATTCATCGAAATCAACCGAGGTTCTAGAATGCGTAGTTGATCTTAAAAACATTAATTAGGTGTGGTTGTCAGAGTGATATTCATACAGCCTAACTGCAATAAGTTTTAATTACGCCAAAATGCTGGCTTTTGAAAATGCACCTTACAAGCTGCCTGCGTAAAGTATACTAGGCTAAAAGTGACTTCTTACTTAGAGTGCGTTTTCTGTAATGGGTGTTCACTGCCTTTGTAAATTGACATATATTTTTTAGGATGCAGGCAATTACTTATTCTACCCTTTTGGTAGGAAATGACGTCCTGTTCATATGTCATACTTGCAGAAGCGGTACCTAACGGCTTTTAAATGATTTACAACTTGCCGAATAATGTTGAAACCTTCCAGCCGTAAAACTTAAATGCATGGCCTCAAAAATCAAGCTTATCACATTCTGTCGAAGGAAAGGTAAATATTTTCCCACGGTTTGAGTGAGAAGTCACAATAAAGTTCCGTGGAATTTTAAATGGATGTGAAACAAGTTGACTTATAAGTAGACACATATATTTTCCTTTAGGAATGCACATTTCATGGTTGTAAAATTCTCATAACGAGCAATTTTCTGTAATGCTGAAAATACACTTTCCCACAATAAAACTGCGAAGTAGGTGTAATTTGCTACAAAATGAGTATATAAAAATTGTGCATGTTTTTTGTAAAACATACTTGAATTTATAAGGATAGTCAGCTTAAATTAAGTAAATGTCCAATAATTACGGATGACGCCGAGGCTGGCAACCACATCAGCTGCGATGAGGAGAGTAATAGCGGTATCATATCCGTGATGATAGTACGCTATTATTCAAAATAACGGCTGAAATTCGATGTGGAGACTAGAATTCCAGTCAAATACAAAGACAGTTGAAATGAGTTAATTCGTGAAAAAGTTAGATGGTGTCCCGTAGACAACCTGAAAGGCTTCGTTTGTAAAGATTTGATTATTCATATCGACAAAATGGGCGAGAAAAGTACTCGAGACCGATCTAGTTTCATTCTTGGTTACTTACTTCACGTACCCTCCTTTTCAGGCGCCTCGTTTTTCGGTCAATGTATCCTGTTCTAGAGGAGCAAGTGAAAGAGTAGATGCACATGGATATGGCCCTCAATGGGAGTCAGTCTTTTCCTCCCAATCGTAGGAGGGGAGAGTTCGTGAAGAGCACCCGTC